TACAGGAAGAACAAGAAGAAGAAGAAGTAAGTAATTAGTTACTAGTACGAGCGCTCGTAGTTTTGGGTCTTATTTTAAGTTTATTACACTTTATATGTGTATCCTTTGTGCTAACTCTTTTATCAAGATTGTAATGATGATAAGATATGATATATATATATATATATATATACTGGCTATTAGTTACTATTCCAAACTGACTTAATTATTATGTCTCTGACTGATTTCATGTAGGTTTCGGTTTATATGTTAGTAAAGTGATTTTATTTACGAAACATTGTGATTTGTGATTTTACGAAGAATGCCAAATAAACAGCATTTAGTATACATCTCCTGATTACCAGATATGATGCTTGTTTTTAACATTTATATAACTTTCGTATTTTGACAGACAAAATCCAGCCGGAAGATACACTACGGGTTAATGGGAAAGGAAAAAAGATGAGGAAACCCAGAACCATCTACTCCAGTCTTCAACTCCAGCAGCTCAACAGGAGGTTCCAAAGAACGCAGTACCTGGCACTGCCCGAGCGAGCTGAGCTTGCTGCCTCGCTAGGCCTAACTCAAACACAGGTAGGTCTCAAAGATTACGGTTTTAGTGCCCTCATAAACTACTCTAACAGGGGCAATCAGCCTATTGAGGTTTCCTGGGAAAGTGGCCCTTGTCCTCAAAACAGTAGCCACAAATAAGCACTTTCATCTTCTTGTCGGAGGTGTGACAAGCTGCTCTAATTATTGTTTGCTAACAGAAGTGACATTTCGGTGGCACCCTCAAATAATTCTCGGATCATCACGTTTGTCGAAAACAGATGTCTAGATAATAAAACACTAAGCGCTTTTCTGGTTTCGTTTGGTCTGGAGTTCGACTTTCCCATGGAACCTCGGTTGTAAAGTAATCGGTGCTATGCATCTTTTGAGGGTTATATAGATTTGGGTGATTACCAAATTTTCACGGAGAAAAAAGAGCCACGATAGAAAAACGGTTTCATGTGACTAAGAGAAAAAGGGAGGGATAAAATAAGAATACAGCTTAAATCTCCTTGGAATGTACTTAAAGTCAAATCACCCAGATGCTTGGTAGTTCTAAAAGTGGAATGTTTTTAAACAAAACTGGTTCCGGATATATTTCACAGTTTTTTGTATATTCAAAGAAAACGTCTTGTAATGGTATTTGTCCCTAAAGTAAAAGACCTTCTAAAATAAAACAAAACAAACAAAAAACTCTTAAACGTTTATTTTTCGTGTAGTTGTACATGTATTTACGTATCACTTTGATTACTCATTAAACTAAGGGTTTTGGAGTGTAATTAATTGTGCTTTGAAACATCGCAAACTACTTGGGCGATGATATCTCATTTGTCTCAACTAATAGACATAGCTTGATGGTTTCTTCATTTTAATCATGCTGTTCCTATAGACATAGCTTGATGATTTCTCCGTTTTCGTCATCCTGCTCCTATAGACACAGCTTTTGGTTTCTCTGTTTTGCTCATGCTGCTCCTATAGACATAGCTTGATGGTTTCTCCATTTTGGTCATCCTGCTCCTATAGACATAGCTTTTGGTTTCTCTGTTTTGCTCATGCTGTTTCTATAGACAGGTTGCTGGTTTCTCTGTTTTGCTCATGCTGCTCCTATAGACATAGCTTGATGGTTTCTCGATTTTGATCATGCCGTTCCTGTAGACATAGTTTATTGGTTTTGCTCTTGTGGTCATGCTGTTCCTATAGCCATAGCTTGATGGTTTCTCCATTTTGGTCATGCTGATCCTATAGACATAGCTTGATGGTTTCTCCATTTTGATCATGCCGTTCCTGTAGACATAGCTTACTGGTTTTTCTCTTTTGGTCATGCTGTTCCTATAGCCATAGCTTGATGGTTTCTCCATTTTGGTCATGCTGTTCCTATAGACATAACTTGATGGTTTCTTTATTTTGATCATGCTGTTTCTATAGACATAACTTGATGGTTTCTTTATTTTGATCATGCTGTTTCTATAGACATAACTTGATGGTTTCTTTATTTTGATCATGCTGTTCCTATAGACATAACTTGATGGTTTCTTTATTTTGATCATGCTGTTTCTATAGACACAGTACATAACGAGTTTTCCTGTAAAACTATTACTGCCTGTGATTAGGTGTGTTCATGACAAGAGTGCCGGTGATACAGCTATGAATGACAAAGTGTATAAAACTACGTGTGTAACTCAGGCTTACCTAACTATAACTGTGAATTGTAGTAACTATGTGTGTAACTCAGGCTTACCTAACTATAACTGTGAATTGTAGTAACTATGTGTGTAACTCAGGCTTACCTAACTATAACTGTGAATTGTAGTAACTATGTGTGTAACTCAGGCTTACCTAACTATAACTGTGAATTGTAGTATGGTGTACATGTTTTGAAAAAAGAGGATTATCATTTATAGTAATACTGAGGATTCATTTATAAGGCCATATATCAACAGTAATATGTAATTACGTGAAGTAATAACCTGTTTTAACAATAACGTCTAAAATGGGCAGAATGAATTACTTAGAGAGGTATTTTGATTCACTAAAATTTGAAATGAAGCTTGATGGTAGGTAGTTTCTGTAAAATGAGTGCTTAAAATTAGAGAAACGCGTTTAGTATAGTGTGCAGTTTGTATAAAGAAATATTTAAAGTGAAATTAAGTAGTGTATAGTTTTTTCTAACACCATACGTTCTTATACATACTATACACTACTCTAACACCATACGAAAATCTATATAATATCTAATTTCACTTTAACCATTGGTTTATACAATCTATACACCACACTAACACCATACGTTCTTATTTTTTATAGGAACGTATGGTGTTAGTGTAGTGTATAGTTTTATAGGAACGTATGGTGTATAGTATGTATAGGAACGTATGGTGTTAGTGTAGTGTATAGTTTGTATAGGAACGTATGGTGTGAGTGTAGTGTATAGTTTGTATAGGAACGTATGGTGTTAGTGTAGTGTATAGTTTTATAGGAACGTATGGTGTTAGTGTAGTGTATAGTTTGTATAGGAACGTATGGTGTTAGTGTAGTGTATAGTTTTTATAGGAACGTATGGTGTTAGTGTAGTGTATAGTTTTTATAGGAACGTGTGGTGTTAGTGTAGTGTATAGTTTGTATAGGAACGTATGGTGTTAGTGTAGTGTATAGTTTTATAGGAACGTATGGTGTTAGTGTAGTGTATAGTTTTATAGGAACGTATGGTGTTAGTGTAGTGTATAGTATGTATAGGAACGTATGGTGTTAGTGTAGTGTATAGTTTTTATAGGAACGTATGGTGTTAGTATAGTTTATAGTATGTATAGAAACGTATGGTGTTAGTGTAGGGTATAGTTTTTATAGGAACGTATGGTGTTAGTGTAGTGTATAGTTTTTATAGGAACGTATGGTGTTAGTGTAGTGTATAGTTTTTATAGGAACGTATGGTGTTAGTGTAGGGTATAGTTTGTACAAACTGTTCATTAAAGTGAAACTGTGTAACTTATGTATAATTATCTTTCATCATTTTGGAGTCTTTTAGAGTAAAATGCATTTACACATTAAGCTAAGCCTTTTGTCCAACGGCCGAAAAGGTTGATTTGAAGAACTAAGACTACTTTCATCTTATAGCGAAGGCTTGCACACTGGCTAGAAACAGTATGTATTACACGGGGTTCAAAAAAAAATCTTTAAGGACTTATTATTAACTGAGTATACACTGGAAGTTAACTTTTCTTCGGTATTTTCTTTATGTGTTTGTTTATAGTTTTAAAATTCAAGCAAATTTTATTACATAACTGAAATCAAGAGACGAAGGAAGAATATTTGAATAATATGTTAACAGAAGCAATAAATGGAAACTCCTCTTTTTGGTTTATTATCCGAACAACACATAGCAAGAGCAAATAATTACATTAATATTCATAATTATATAATTATAATTAACAAAAATATAAAACTGAACAGGTTAAGTGATTAGGGAGAACGTTATTGCTGACGTCGTTCGTTTGATTTTAATTTGTAAAGTATATGTGTCATGTTTAGGCCTAGATAATTTACTTTAAATGGCAAACGTAAGAGACATCTTTGGTAACACTATTTGAATCTCGGATATACGTACTTATTAATTAGTATACTCTCTAAGTTGATTGAAATAAGGAGGTTTTCAACAGAATATTCTCAAATTTTTATCAATATGGTAATTATAATGTAAATATACTCGTGAACAATGGATCAAAAACTTACGTATTCTAATTGCTTTAATTTCATTAAAACCAACCAATTCCTCACATAAGCACTGAGATTCCACAGTTATGCTTGAAAATATCTACATCAAAATGTCAACACACACACATATATATATACTTTCATTTAACTTTTATAAATCTTTAAGTATTACCTCTGGCCTGTAAACGGTCGTTTTTTTCACTTAAATTTGCTATTTTTTTGTTTAATGCCGTTATTCTGATTTTAAACTTCCATTTTGAAAGAGTTGACGTAGTAGTGGATAATACAGATGGTCAGTGACTGATTCACACACTAAAATATTGTCTTGAAAACAACCCAACTTGAGCTCTGTTGAACAATACAATCATTGTTGGGTAACAGAACACAAATTTGTTAATTAATGTCCTTAATCTTTGTGTTGAATACCCTATAATAAATATACACCTAATAAATTTGTGATTTCACGACACGGCAATACATTTAAACAAAGACAATTTTTAATTGAAAACCGCAAGCCATTTTTATTGTAGCGATATAAACACAACTTTTATGTGTTTATGCCGCTACAACAACCAATTGTGATATAGTTCACATAAGAATGTGTTTGGGTAATTTCAATGCGTTTTTTGTAAAACAAGTTCATGTTTCTGTTAATTTACAACAGTTTTTTTCTTTTGTTTTTACATTGTAGATTCCAAGTCTTTTTTATGTTTTGGTTTTAGTTTCAGGTGTTAATCAATAACAACTAGTCATCTACTTACTGTATTGAACTAGTGTCACTACGCTATACTTACTATAATGAACTAGTACTACTACTGTATACTTACTGTAATGAACTAGTATCACTACGGTATACTTACTGTAATGAACTAGTACCACTCCGGTATAATTACTGTGATGAACTAGTACCACTACGGTATACTTACTGTAATGAACTAGTATCACTACGGTATACTTACTGTAATGAACTAGTACCACTACGGTATACTTACTGTAATGAACTAGTATCACTCCGGTATAATTACTGTGATGAACTAATACCACTACGGTATACTTACTGTAATGAACTAGTACCCCTACGCTATGCTAACTGTAATGAACTCGCAATATTCTTATGAATGTTGTACAGGTATGCCCATATTTATGTCAGTAAAGGTAAAGAAATGTCCTGTTCATGAATATTTGTTTAATTATTTGTCTGAATCCTATTCAATCCACAACATTTAAACTACACTGAAACCTTTTAATAAACTAAGAAATGAGCACTAACACGATGTACGTTACCGAAGTTCTTTAAATATTCAAGACTACATGTTGCCTTGACGCTTTAAGTATTT